GAAGATCAATCTCTGCTGGTCTGGGGGGATTCCTTCTTTGTCCTGAATTTTGGCCTTGACATTTTCAATAGTGTCTGATGGTTCTACCTCCAATGTGATGGTTTTTCCTGTGAGGGTCTTGACAAAGATTTGCATACCTCCTCTAAGACGCAGAACCAAGTGAAGAGTCGACTCTTTCTGAATATTGTAGTCGGACAGTGTGCGACCATCTTCCAGCTGTTTTCCAGCGAAGATCAATCTCTGCTGGTCTGGGGGGATTCCTTCTTTGTCCTGAATTTTGGCCTTGACATTTTCAATAGTGTCTGATGGTTCTACCTCCAATGTGATGGTTTTTCCTGTGAGGGTCTTGACAAAGATTTGCATACCTCCTCTAAGACGTAGTACCAAGTGAAGAGTCGACTCTTTCTGAATATTGTAGTCGGACAGTGTGCGGCCATCTTCCAGCTGTTTTCCAGCGAAGATCAATCTCTGCTGGTCTGGGGGGATTCCTTCTTTGTCCTGAATTTTGGCCTTGACATTTTCAATAGTGTCTGATGGTTCTACCTCCAATGTGATGGTTTTTCCTGTGAGGGTCTTGACAAAGATTTGCATACCTCCTCTAAGACGTAGTACCAAGTGAAGAGTCGACTCTTTCTGAATATTGTAGTCGGACAGTGTGCGGCCATCTTCCAGCTGTTTTCCAGCGAAGATCAATCTCTGCTGGTCTGGGGGGATTCCTTCTTTGTCCTGAATTTTGGCCTTGACATTTTCAATAGTGTCTGATGGTTCAACCTCTAGAGTGATGGTTTTCCCAGTGAGGGTCTTGACAAAGATTTGCATACCTCCTCTAAGACGCAGAACCAAGTGGAGAGTCGACTCTTTCTGAATATTGTAGTCAGACAGTGTGCGGCCATCTTCCAGCTGTTTTCCAGCGAAGATCAATCTCTGCTGGTCTGGGGGGATTCCTTCTTTGTCCTGAATTTTGGCCTTGACATTTTCAATTGTATCTGATGGCTCCACCTCAAGAGTAATGGTTTTCCCAGTTAAGGTTTTCACAAAGATCTGCATGTTTCTGAAAGTGTAATGAATGGCTATATTATAACACGTAATCAAGTGACAAAGTTTGAAGCAATTTAACTTTTCAGTACCCCCCCCCCCCCAACTTGACCAAGTCATACGTCCCGTATAAAAACAACGACGAATAAAGGTCATTTTACATTTACTGTATATAGAAGATTTTTGTTCGTTTTTATGAAATTTTATCACATACATATTTTATTTTGGTTAGTCTTACGTCACTCATCATCGATAAACATTTCACTTGAGGATTCAACATGATTTTTATATATTATTTTTCTCAAATCAATTCGGTCTAAATTCCTATTAAAAGATAAAACTATCCCAAATTATTAATAAACAAGAAAAAAACATTTTGTTTGTAAAATCCTTTGTGATTTCAAAATGGCGGCTACGAACAAATCAGGAAATTAATGTTTCAACCTCACCATTCTTTTCAGTAAAATTAGCACAAGAACAACCTTTCAATAGCCCAATACCAAAAACCTTTACTAAATATTAAAACAAAAGTTCCTCTTACCTTTGTTAGATAAAATGTACATATATATTGTCACGAGTTTACTCTGTTCTCTATTCGCCCTTCGTTATGTTCTGTCTGACATCCGGGACATTCTTTATTTATAGGGAATGATCATGTGATCTCAATTCGTGGTTTTATTGGTGTAGAATTTTCTAGCACATGATCTGTCATGTCTTAAAATAAACTACCACACGTTGTTCCGTTATGACATCCACAAGGTGTTGACTGTTGTTATGCAAGTGTTTTTCGAAATACATAGGTGTTATTTCCAAAATTATTTTCCTGTATATGAATATATATTTATGTATATACCTATTAATTAATTTATATATTTTTTCATTCATTAAAAGTGTGGGGTTTTTAATGGACAGGCAACTCCGTTATACACACTGACACAGAATGTTCGAGTCAGCATTTTAGTACGTGTACAGCTTGCACAAGATAAACAAATAAGATACGTCACATGGTCTTTTTATATAATGCTAACCTCAGTACAATGTACATGTATGATTACTGACGGAAATATGGGTTCATTTATCGTAACCAGGTACATATGTAGCCTCGAGCAATGAGTATCTTTTATCTTCACATTGTGACATGACCCGGCGAGTTTTCCTTTGAAGTCAGCCGTACAATAACTGCGATACAGAACACTTTTAGTAGGCGTTTCTTATGCAAATGAGCAGAATCTGTACTGTATCTGCAAAATATCAACGATACAGTATGATTTATTTTTAGCGATGACGGAAAACTGAATCCGTATCTTAAATGATATAGACATAAGAATCAATCAAATCGTAAGATAGCGCTGTTAGTACTTATTCAAAATTTGAGATGAATTAAGAATAGAATTTTACAACGTAAAGTTACCAGTGGCGGATTCAAAGATTTTAGAAAGGAGAGAGTGGGGGCAGTACACAAATGGTTTTCTTCGGAAAAAAAATGTCCTAACTGGAAAATCGGGGATTTCGTGGGGGGGGGGGGTAGATTCATAATCAGGCCTGACACTATATGTGCGTGATCGTTTCGTGTTGATAAATTAAAAGTGTATACAAGTTTAGCAAACGTAATTTACGAAAGCCAAAAAAATAAAAAGAAAAAATTCGAAAGGGGGGGATACCGACGCGCGTGAGTGAGTGCTGGATCTACCTTTCAGTTTGGTTCCTCTACATTCTTTTTTCAAACATGAAGGTAATATGCCCCCTTTCTTACATTTGTTTATTTCAATTTGGAGCATGTATGGACCGGTCGATGACATTGTCGGACATTTCTCTAAGAATACAACCTCCCCGACAGTGCTCCCAGAAACATTTTTGCTTCAAATAATTCCCATTTATGATTCTTATGTATCAAAATGTTTTGCACTAAATTCGTAGCTTACATTTAAAAAAAAGTCAGCAAGATCTAAATAGAAAGGAATCAAATATAAATTAAATTTTGGGAAAAAATGTTATATAATGCATCTCATAATTATAATTATTTAAATTGATAGATACCTGCACGTCCACCTCACTCGGCATTTCAGTTGCGATTGCTATAAATTGGGTTCTAAATCAACTTTCTGCAAAATCATCTGATTGGTTGAGAGATATATACCCAAAAACACATGTAAATTAGCGAGGTCATAAGAAAGGTCATGTCATAAGTCATTTAGATCGTTTCCTACTGTATCGGAGATACAGGGCGGGGCCCGGCTCGAGCTATCGCTCTCGCCTTAAGCCCCGCCCTGTATCTCCGATACAGTAGGAAACTCGTACTCTAACTATAACTTATACTGTTAAAGTCAATTTCATCACAGTAGATCTCATGAAGTATGAAGTAATCACGCATTTTCGGGTGAAATATATCAACTCTGCACACCTCTCAATGGAAAATTTATCAATATGTACTTCTTTTTATTTATAAAAGGTTTAGTAAAGGAAAGAAAATTGTTCCAAGACCACAGGTAGATCAAGCATTCATTCAAATTATATTTAAGTAGATTATAGTAAAAGTGATAAATAAAATATGTGAACTACATGAAATTTATATGTTTTGACCATGCTGCTTGTGTAGTGATCGTGTATAATACTATAATGAGAGGAACCAATTACTTTGATCCATTTTTTAAATTTTATTATTTATTTATTTATTTTATTTTATTTTAATTTTTTTTTGTATGGTTTTCAGCTTACAAAACACGTTACACGTATAACTGGACTTATGGTGAGGTGACATTTGAAAGAAAGTTTCATCTGTTTCACGTACCCTGCACTAAATTCTTGTGATAAAGTGACACAACCAGAGGGGGGGGGGGGAGGTTACATGTAAGTAAAAAATATGACTGTATTAACCATTATCAGATCCTGCAGAGATCCAGCAATCGGACGGATTTTCAAAGAATATCAAACTAACATTGCAAGATGTGCAACATAAAAGGATTTCTTCGCTCTGTCCCAATAGAACAATAAACATATTATAGCAATCAAAATATGCACGTCATGTCGATTTACTTTTAGAATCCTGTAAATGTACAATCGTGACTTATATGTTTTTGGTAAAACACCACTTTAATTTCTTCTAATGAAAAAAAGGGGGCGTATCCCAATAATTATACAACACAAAAGAAAATTAATACCAATTTACACTAAATGATATCAATAGAAATGTGATGTTCTGAATTTTGAATTAATTTACCGGGTGGGAGTAAATACAAAATTTAGAACATGACGCGTTGTTCTAAATTTTGTATTTACTACCACCCGGTAAATTCAAAATTTAGAACATGACAAAAAAAAAATGCGGTTGCGTCCCGTCAATATTGTTACTATTATGTGACGAATTTTTTTTATTTGTCAAGGAATTTCTGTTCGGTTGTGGATGCCTCCAACCAAAGATCAGATGCTTCCCACGGCCTGGTTTGAAACTAATTCCATAATAAATAAATGATCAAACAAAAGGCAAGAATTTATTTTTTAAACTTTAACGTTATACATGTATATATAGTTCAATAAAAAAAAAACGTGAAGGAGGAGGTCAGGTGCTTTATGGTTCACGGTGTTTCATTGTCTTAAATTATAAAAACTGTATAATCAACTAGACACACTGCTCCTTTTTTCACACATAAACATTCAAGACACCCATGCAAAAAAAAAAAAATAAATAAATAAATAAAAAATAAAAAAAAATATAAGCATTTCGTTTGAGATAATACAATATTTTACACATAGATAGGCCATACAAATTAGTGTTTGTAAACAGGAAAAGTATGCTTCTGAATACACACGGATATTAAGAGGAACATTCATTTGTTATTTACATTTACACAAAAAGAAGATCACATCAGAAATCATCCTCGCCAGCCAGGGGTCCTGAGTCAACACGTTGCCGTTGGTCCAACGGCAACGTGTTGACTCAGGACCCCTGGCTGGCGAGGATGATCAGAAATGTGATAATGCTCTAAGTTAATTCATATGGAATTGGTACTACAGGCACACATCCAGGAAAGTTTTCTATGAAGTTCATATGCTATTTAAGACAGGAGGGGTCTATCCAAAAGGTATATGACAGTGATTCTTTGAAAACTATACAGAAGGAAGAATTGCATGCATGAATATGTTGCACATGGTCATAAGTATATAATGCATAGACGAAAAGCAAAAAGGGAGATCTAAAGGGGATGAAAAGTTGTGGGTTTTTTCACTTTCTACGCAGTGACTTTTTTTAACTGAAAAAAATAATAAGAAGGTAAAAACAAAAAAACTAGAAAATTAACAAAAATTTCTTTATTAAGAAAAAAAACGATGTGTTTTAACTTTCATCATATCCTTGCGTATTTCTGACTATTTCAATGATATTAAAATCACAAACATTGACAGTGAGGTCGAGAGTTGAATTCAATCTAAAAATATATCAACACTTAAAAATGCGTATTTTGGTTTGGTCATTTTCAATGTAAAGCACCCAACCTTTCCTCCAAACTACTTCATACATATATACAATATTTTAAAAACTATACATTTGTTTGCTGCCTCTATATATGCCTAGTGTGAAAATAAAATAAAATTTAAATATAATACTTTTATGCAATTTCTGAGACGTCTGTGATCATTTCGATGATTTCTTGGCCGGAATCGTCTTTTGTAGATGAGTCACCGTCTGACCCATTGACAACCCCGTCAATGTATGGAACCTTTTTAAACTTGTCTCCTTGACCGATGAAAGAATCCCTCTTTTTAACCCTATTGTCTTTTAAAATATTTACCTCCGGTGATCTTTTCGGTACCTGTTGATAATGGACAGGACTATCTTTCTGAGATCTACACAGATTGAAAAAAAAGAAAAACAAAATATTATTTTGTAAGCAGTTGTGGGCAGGATTCATCAACATATATGATTAGAGACGGATGATGTCTATTGGCCAAAATGCTCACATAAGTCATGTTGTTCGAAAATGCATTAAACTCTCTATGGATAGTTTTCCTATGACGTATTTTGCCTCGGAGTTATTCCCCTTGGCCATCATCTTGTAGGTCAAAGTAGTGAATTTTCCTCATTGAACAACCAATTTTAAACATGCATGCCAGAAAATATTTACAGTATTGAAATTTTGAATTAGAGGAAGCTATAACAAACGTATATTCATAAGAAAAACAGTGTTATCTTCAACTCAGTGCCCAATATAACAAATGTTGAATAGGTTGAATAATGAAGGGATCTGGGGATGTTGACCTACAATATGGCCGCCATGGGGAAATAACTCCTGCTTAAATCACCTCGATGGAAAAACCATCTATTGACACCAAAAACTAAGCTACAAGAGTGATTTACTGTCGATAATTATATCTAATACAATATTTCGATATTACTTTGTTGATAAATCCTTTTTAAATCTTTAGAAACATTACAGAGATTTCTTTATACGTAATATGCTGGGCTCAAGTGAACCCACTTTATATTTTATATTACGAGAATCGTACTACAATTTTAGTCCACTTTAGTAGAAGAATCAATTCCTAGGATGAATATTTTTGCATTTGCATATCATGAGCATGCAGTAAAATACAGGAAGCAAAAGTTTCCTCTTTTTTCTCAATTTTTATACTTTTATTAGATTTCTTAATACATGTATTCAGAATTGAGAGATAACTACTGTATTTGAATCATTGTGATAAAAATATAGATTAGCTTCATTTTTATATTTAACCCTCGAAAACTTCATAAGCACGATAACTTAATTGTGGAACAAATAAAATTACACTCTTCTGAAATCAAAATTACCTTTTTCTACGGCAGTAGACGAAGCATACCAAAATAACTACAATGGGTATCACTAGTAAAGCTAGCAAAGGCCACCAGTTTCTACTTCCGGCAATGACAACTGGAACTTCCGGTCTTCCACCATTAACAGTGATATCAGATTTATTCATAGAAGTGTCAGATCTATTGATTGATCCTACAGGGGACGTAACGATATGAGGAGGGACGGTGGTAGTTGACGGTTTTATGGACTGAGGAGTTCCACAGTTGAACTTCGAAACGTTCTTGCATAAATTTACGAATTCTACACATTGCACTTTTGAAGATTGATTGCACGTGATAAATGTTCGGGTTATTGCAGCTTCTGTTAAATATATTATACAGTTTTGTAATATATGCGTCCTTTCTTGGCACGTGATATTTGCCGGTATATCACATATTAGATGGGTCTTTCCAGGAGGGGGACAGGGTGCGAGATCAAGAAATTCTTTCGGACTGTACTGTCCCGTTGTGCAGGAATATTCATAATACTCGACTTTCTGTCTTAGGTTTACCAATTTGGTTACCTGAAAAATAGAGAAATTAAAATGACTTCATCTTTGGTAATAAAACACAAAATAATTTCCAAGATAAAAGAGATAGAAAGGTGATGGACGTCGCTTCGAAGATATAGGAAGAATATAAGGGCTGAAGAAGGACAGTCTTAAAAAGACTAATATGGCGGAATGAGATAATTTTCTACCATTTACGAATCGTGTTCAGCTTTATGAATCACCTCAATAAATGTTCAGCACTGAAAAACCCTATTAGACAAGTATAAATGCATAATTATGTGACCACAGATGCCACTTAAACAGTAAATTAATAATGGTGAAAATAATCAGAATAATAATAATTAAATAATAATAATAATAGACCTAAAAACAAAGTATATGATTTTTGTCCCCCGCTTTCGCGAAAGCGAGGGGACATTAAATCTCATTCGTCTGTCAGTCTGTCACAAAACTTTCACCTTGGTCATAACTTTTGAATGCGAAGAGATAGGACGTTCATATTTCACATGTGCATTACTTGTGACAAGACCTTTTCAAATATACAATGATTTTTGACCCCGTGACCTTGACCTTGAAGTTTGACTTACTTTTCACAAATTTTAATATTACTTTAAATTAGCCACAACTATTGAAAGAGAAAAGGTAGGGCTTTCATGTTACACATGTGTATTACCTGTGACAAGACCTTTCTAAATACACTATGATTTTTGACCCCGTGACCTTGACCTTTCTAAATACACTATGATTTTTAACCCCGTGACCTTGAAGTTTGACCTACTTTTCAAAAACTTTAAAACTTTGGTCATAGCTTTTTGAATGAGAAGAGATATGACTTTCATATTATTACCTGTGACAAGACCTTTTTAAATATACTGATTTTTGACCCTGTGACCTTGACCTTCATGTTTTGACCTACTTTTCAAAAACTTTAACCTTGGTCATAACTTTTGAATGAAAAGAGATAGGACTTTCATATTTCACATGTGTACACTATGATTTTTGACCCCGTGATCTTGACCTACTTTTATATCTTTCCCTATAACTTTTGATAGAGAAGAGATAGGGCTTTCATATTTGACATGTGCATTGCCTGTAACAAGATGTCTCCGAGCTTGCTATAATTTCCTTCATGTTTGACCTACATGTAATTTTCAAAAAATTTTAACTTTGTTGATTACTTTGGAATAACGTATGATAGGGTATACATATTTCACACAATATGCCATAAATAATGGCATCCCATCCACTAAGATACCGAAAGCGGGGGACTACAATTCTTTGAATTTGCTTGTTTTTTTTAAATCACAAAAAGTAAATAACATTCTTTGAAAGAATGAGATTTACCACTGATAAGCTAATTTATTGACTTGCTTCCAACTCTGATATGCAAAGCCACTTTTCTATAAAATAAATGACAAAAAGTGCGTAAAACAAACGTTCTTATGAGAATTCCTCACGAATAAATAGACATCAAGGATGCCAGATTTTTTTCATCAGAGATGGTTTTCTGTGTTGTTATCGTAAGATGCATCCATTCTATGTGTATTTAATTTGTTATTAATCAAGCAGAAACCCCACAGTTACATTTATATATGCGTAGTCTACCTTCTAAACGAACTTTTGGGTTACCCAATCATATCAAAAATCAATGTCTAATCCCCTGTTTCTTACGCTGAAGTGTATTTTACAGGAACAGGTGCCCGTATTCTATCTCCTGCTGTCATATACACATCTCGTAGAAACTAAAAATAGTCTGCATATAACATCAAAACTTCTTCAATCGGCAGAAGTTGCTACACGTACGTACAGGATTGCAATAAAAGCTTTCATATATATGTCACTGTAACTCTGATGAAATTCATGGACGTGTTACCCCCCAAAATCCTGACATCGCTTGTGTGTATAACATGTATAATGCAGCTAAGGATATAGAAACATGTATATAACACCTGTTAAATAACAGATGATGATTACATAATATCTATAAAACAAACATGAAATAAACAATACTGCAACATCGTGCAAACACTGCAACAGTACTGTAACATCTGGAGCGATCAAGGTGGTAATAAAACGAAAAAAAAAAAAAAAAAAAAAAAAAAAAACTTCATCTTTGAACCATATATCTGGGGGGTAATTAGCTTAATGATTGTAAGAACACGAATTCAGTTAATTAACGACTTAGGTCGACATCCAATTTATATGCACTCCATACGATGGGAGTTTCCCACCAATTGCTGCCAATACAGCTTGGCTGAAATCCTACGCCTGTCTTTTAAGACTCCATTAAATGGATTAAAGGAAAATGTTTTCCGTTTCTTAAAATAATATTGGTGTTTATAGATTAGGTCTAATCCTGCCTGCCTCCTGGATTTGATAGTACCTTCAGGGTTATATTTAGAATTTGATTCAAGCAAAGAAAAACAGATCGGATAGCAGTGTATAGAAATTTGTTTGCCATAGATTCAGTTCATGAAATGACTCAGAAAATGTAATTTTATTATCAGATTTAAGTAAAATATTTGGGATAAATCCTTACAGTAAGTGCTAATGATTGTGTGACTTTCTTCGCCTGGACTGAAGTATTTTATATAAATATACGAATATATTCTTAATGGACCTTTAGAGAAATAAATATACATAATATTTTTTTTTTCATTCTAATTGACTCAATAGCTCGAGACCATGTGTCTAATGGAGACCAGGCATTCCCCGCCTTTTATAGCCCATCCCGTGTACTTTTATCGCTTTTTTGAGTATTTATTATTTGATTTCTAATGGCAGTGTAAATGTTCACATCCTGTGACGGTTCTTTCTTAATAGTTCCTCGGTAAAATTTTATGGATCGTGTCAGATCTTAACCAACTAAGATATAATTTGTAGTCATACCACCTAATAATCCGATAAAGCTACCGCATCAGAAATATCGAAAAACTGCCTAACAGGTGTGCATTTTTACATTTCTACCTGCAAAACAATGCTTTATAAACGTGCTAGTATTTCCTATATTACATACTTCCTCCTTCAATGTTTGTCATAAATAGTACAGGTGTATTGTATGTATTAAATCAACAATGGCAATTGAATCAAAAGTGAAAGTACACACGTTACAAAATTAGTGACCCATTATGATTTTTAATGAAGAAGCATATTTGAATATCACGAACGAGGCATGCATTTACCTGTATCTCTGAAATGAACCATGTCAAACACATGATGACGCTACAACACGAGACCATTCCAAACTAACCCACATTTCCTCCACAGTTTGATCAGAAGTAAATAAAATGCTGCATTCCCCCTCTCCAGGAGCCAGTAGTTGTTATCATAAGTTCCTGAAGCTTGTAGACATCTCTGTTTTTCGCTAAAAGTAATTTGTTTCAGTTTACACACAACCTCCAGCGAAAAGCAAGCATTACACGCACGTGCCGTGAATTCACATTGGTTTAAAACATGAACTATACATGCAATGACTCACAGATAACTTGACGCAATATTTTTACCTGTAATTAGTTACTCTGTCCTTAGTTTAATGAAGTAATTTTAAGACAGTGCACTAAACGGGGTTAATTTAGGACGGTGGTCATAGATCAAGAATCTCAACTGGTTATACATGTTATTTACAGATGTAAAGACGACAATGTCCTCGGACGCGCGATAATCCATTGTTATATTTAAATCATTTACCGGTCGACGTGTCATCTGCCCATTTAAATACCCGTTTGAAATTCTTTACAATTGATTTTTGTTCGGAAAAAAAGATGTACTTATCAATACCAGGACCGTGTTAAATTTTCTATATATGTGTGTTATCTAACAAATTAAGTTATAACAAGCTTGTCTTATGGTACATGCACGTGTTCACTAATTTTGGATTATGACGGTATATTTTGACGCTCAGTACATATTGTCCAGTACCTATCCTCACTGCGCGTATGGTCGTCCATCGGCACATATTGAGACCGGTGACAATATGTGCCGAGATGAGTCCTTTTTATATCTCGGCTTGAAAAGCGGGAGATATATGGTGACACCTTCCGTACTCCGTAACACTTCAGAGTACCATCTCTTATCGGAAACTCCTCCTATACCACAGAATAAAAATTTACTGAAGCTTTCATAGAATCTTTATAACATAGTCTTATTATGCATCTCCTATTTCACGTTTCGATTAGACATATATTTGAGATTTTGAATAGCATTTAACATCGACACTGTCATTCTTTCTATAACATTGGGGGTACCCATGTATCTCTTATCCGCAACTCCTCCTATCCTACTGAATAAAATTTAATGAGACTTTCACAGAATCTTTGTTACATTTTGTCACTGTGCACCCCCAGTATTACTTTCGATCGGAGAGATATTTTGGGTTTCCCATAGCAAAACCTGGACACCCCAATTCTTTCTTTAACGTTGGGATATCCCTCTCTTTTCCGAAACTCCTCCTATACAACTGTATACCATTTCATGATACTTTCACAGAATCTATATTACATGTACATAGTGCCATTAATTATGCACCTCTTATTTTTCGTTATTTGGCTTTTGGAATAGCAAAACATGCATGAACATCACCATCCGCAACTCCGCCCATATTTACTGAATAAAATGAGATTTTCACAGAATATTGCATGTACAGTGCTTTTATGCACCTCCTATCTTATGTTCTGCTCGGAGGGGTGTTTGGGGTTTCCCTTACAAAAATATGGACACTTCATATAGGAGCGGGGATATCATTTTATGGGCTAAGTGCTCACAGTACCTCTAGTTTCTCCCTGCAGAATGGGCGACAAAATATACCTTACATTGGCACATATTGTGGTCGGCGACGATGTATGCTGCAAACATTTGCTTCTTTTTGTCCAGTGCTGTTTGAAGATTGTTTTTATACTGGGGTCGAATGAAAGAGATTCTTGGTATTTTTAAAGAATTGCATTATTCAGTTTCTTCACTGAACAACTTGTATTTTAACATCTTATTGCATTAATTTTTCCTTATGAACATACAATCTCTGGTAAAACTGAAAATATAATTTATTCCCATTTTTGTGTAAACTGACGCATATCAATATACGTACAAAGTGAAAATCAAGCCTATTGCTGAAATATACTTGCAAGCCAAGTCTGTGTGATTCACACACCGATTACATTCACAAAGCTATGAAAAAGAATCCTTAAATTTAGCAACCCTATCTTTGGGGCGACAATATGTACAGTGAGGGTAGGCACATATTGTCGCCGTCAATAATATGTTCATCTTTTATTAATTTTTCAGCCGGCGATAATATGTGCCGATGGACGACAAAATGTGCAGTGAGGTTACATGTAGCTGCATATTGTCACCGACGACAATATGCACTGTCACAGTGAATTTTCTTCGCAGAAATCGGAAAGGCTCATTTTTAAGTAACTCGTTAGAATGTTTATATAATGAGATATAAGGAGATAATTAACTCTTTATAAGAGATATTTAACCCTTTATAACGAAATAACTACATGTACGTTTGTATTTTCTTATAACGGAATTGCTCAAATAAAGCAATAAAATCGTTATAACGAATCTTTAAAATAAATGAGAGAACTACTTATAAACGAGATAAATAACTTGCTTTAACAGAGAAACTGATTTTAAAGAGACGATAAATCGTTATAAGGAGATATTTATTCGTTATAAAGAAATACTAACCTCGTTATAAAGGAATAAAAAAAAATGCTTTAATGGGATAAATAACTTGTTTTAACGAGATTATCAATGAAATAGCTGAAGATAACGAACAGTAACCGATTTCAAAAACAAAAAAAAATAAACAATAGAACAGCTGTACAAATCTGTGAACAGGGTGTAAAACACGAACCTCTGGAAATTCCAGAGGTGGGATCAGGTGCCTAGGAGGAGTAAGCATCCCCTGTCGATAGGTCACATCCGTCGCGAGCTTTATGTATTGATCAAGTAGACAGCGTATTCCGTAGTCATATTTAGTCAAACAAAGGCCTAACAATTGGTATGAAATATATCTGGAAAAATACGACCCAATGATAGGTTATATTTGCTAAGAAGGTCATTATAAAGACCATACACCTTTTCAGTAGTATGTGATGGAATAAAAATTGAATGTAAAAATTGTGTTAAATATTTAGGAGTTTTTTTTTTAGATAACTTACTATCTGGTGAAAAAATTGTAGAAACTATTATCAGTAAAACAAACCAACGACTCAAATTTTTATATCGGCAAAAATCATGTTTGTCAATGCAATCAAGAAAATCTTTGTGTACTGCTTTAATTCAATGTCACATTGATTATGCTATCACTTGTTGGTATGAAGGACTGTCTGAAAAATTAAGAAATAGACTTCAGGTTGCACAGAAGCTAGAATTATTCTTGATGTTTCACCTAGATCAAGAGTCAGTGTTAATGAATTTGAAAAATTGGGGTTTTTTTGAATATCAGAAGTAGAGTTTGTCAGTTAACGTTACGCCTCAACCATGTCTTTAACATATTAATATTTCATAATAAAGGTCCAAATTATATGTACAGCAATTTTAAACGAAATTTTTCTAAAAATTGTACAAGGCCAAGAAATTTAATTTTTTTGTGCCAAGGGTTAAAAAATTGGAAAGTGAAACTTTTTTTTACAGTGGAATTAAAGATTGGAATTCTCTACCTGATCAGATTAAAAAAAAAGTTACCAATAAATCAAAATTCATAAAAGAGGTCAAAAAAAAACTAAAGAAAATGTCTAAAGAGGACTTTTTTTACTATTAGATTTATAACCCAACTGTTCTTTCTTCTTATACAATTAAGAACTTGTGTTTAAAATGCTTTTGCATATTAAGTATGATTGGAATTTTTAAGCCATCTTGTTAATAGTAAGTATATTATTTATTGTTTATATTAAGTTATTATATGTGTCATACGCCAGCAATTTTGTTACATGTAAAAGGACCCCATTGGAAATAAGCCATACTGGCTTTCATGGGCTATCCTTGGGTTTAGGCATATATATAATATATTTATTTGATTTATATGCAAATAAGATTTGTTATTTAATTTGTTTTAAAATTCATTTCTTAAATCATGTCTATTTAAAAGTTTTAAATGTGTAATATAATACTCACACCTCAGTGTTCATGTACATTGTATAATGCCTATTCCTGAATAAAGATTATTACCCTAGAATTGACGAAATGTTGACTTTAAACGAGGTTGTTGAAATCCCTGTACCACCAACTTATTGTCGCCAACCTGCTCAGTGTAAAAATTGATCGGTACTCAGCACATGCTCTTAAGTATCGAAAAAGCTGGGAGACAGAAACACCATATGCAGGTTATTACAATATAAATAGGAAATTTGACGATGGAAAAGCTGAAGTCATCTCGTTTGTCATACAGTTTAGTTGATAGTTGTTAGTTGGCCCTTATTGTCTATAGTCAGTAAAACATCCAAATTTGAAACAGATGTGGCAGACTTTATGACCAGTGTCTTTTATTTCGAGTTCACTGGGATATATAGAGTCGACATATATATGGAAGTAATTATTGTTAATTGATAAAACGTCGTCGATATATCTAAATGCTGAACTGAAGGCCACAGCAAGTGTTTTTCTTTTTCCTTCTCGTGTAGATTTTTTTTTTAAATGAATTCTGCTTCATAGAAATCAGTGGCGTATATTCCATATACTAGGCAAAAAGGCTGTAGCCTACACATCATTTTGTCAAGGATAAAAATTTAGTTTAAAAAATGGGAAAGGGGAGTTGATAATAAATCTGCCTATTAATATTATTTTGTTGCAAATGCCGAAAAAAGCATTCTTAGCAATCCGCACTTTTATACCTATCCCATGTAAAAATGTACAGTTTTGCTTTTTAAGCCGTAATTCAAGTGTTATATTAAGTCTTATCAGACAATTTCAAAACCATCGACAGCAACAGGATTAGAGCAGGTAGTGAAATTGATAACTGGAAATATATTTTGGTTAGTAGGAAGTTACATGTAAACGTATTGATCGTATTTCGATTATTCAGAAGGAAGTTTCCATATTTTCTAAGCAGAGTAAAAATAGTTAAAAGTTCTCAATTCTGTTAAGTGGTCTTCATATCATAACACATCAGCAGTAAGGAATATACACCACTGGAAATATAAAAACAGTTCTGCTAAAAAAGGGGCCTAATTCGCTCCCTCATCCAAACAGTTTGTTGGAAGACCTGGTCTCTAAAGATGACATAGATGTTGTCAATTAGGAACTCCGGAGTCCTTTTAATATCAACCTCATCTAGTAATTACGCTTAAAATGATAGAATCAGAGTGATTTAAATTTTAACAAAGTAATTTTGCAGAAGACCAATCACAAAATATGAAAATTTCCGAGTTCCAATTTTATTGAAGAAGCAGTTGTATAATGTATATATGATATCAAAAGCATAGTTTTTAACTTATCATGTGAAATAGTGGTATAAAGTGTAGAAAAGTCATACGTTTTGATGTTACTGACTTTGGAAAAAATTGTGATTTTAAACTTTCTATAAAGCTCATTATAATGAGATACTTACTCATTATAACGAAATACTAACTCATAAAGCGAGATAAATAACTCCTTAATGGGATAAGTAACTTCCTTTAACAAGATTATTAACTTTTTATAACGAGATACTTATACTCATTATAACGAGATAATGAATCGTGTTAACGAGACACTATAAATCTTTAGAGATACCAACTAGTTACACTAACCTCAGTAGATACCGGAGGTATAACGAGACATTGACCTTGTTACATCGAGACAATAATTAAAATGAATTTTAAAAATTTACTTCTCGAAAATAAGCCTATCAGGTTTTTGATATTTTTTGTTTTGTTGTGTTTTTGTTTTTTGTTCTTTTTTTATGTTGTTGTTTTGTTTTGTTTGTTTGTTTGTTTGTTTGGGTTTTTTTTTTTGGGGGGGGGGGTGTTTGTTTGTTTTTTTTTGGTTTTGTTTTTGATACATCTTTGGCTGTTAAAGTCGAAAGAATGTTTGAAATAAGTTGGTACATTTTCCCAGAGTATAGAGGTTAGGTTTTTTTTATTTGGTACAATGAATTTTAGAACTTTACAATGCTGTCGTCTACAAAAGTTTTATCTTTAATTTGTTACTTACTGTTTTTGAATTATTTTCTGTATCTCCGAGAACGTACAATTCCTGATTTATATTATCCGATCAAAAGGCCGTGGAGCATCACAAGGGAGATAACAAAAATTCTTTAATGTAATGAGAGTTGATACTCTTACCATGAACATTTCTCTCTCTCTCTCTCTCTCTCTCTCTCTCTCTCTCTCTCGGACCGACTTTAATTCAAAATTGCCCCAAACAAGAAATGGGAGTTTTTACTTTTATTCTTGAAGTAAATATTAAAAACATGTTCTTAAATTTCTTTATGGAGTTGAAATGAATCAATAGAAATTGGTTAACCTTCTAACAGATATACATTTGTATACGAAATATTTGATATCTTGGGGAAAATTATCATGAAGTCACAAAATTGTCATTAATGTTGGATATTTCTCCATGTATCTATTCACTCATATATTGTTTTGCTTTAATGATAATGACTTTCCAAAATAAATCTAAATTATAGTTGAAATGCTAACAATTCAAACATATCTTGCGAAGCAAAATTTGATAGAGATTTTGAAAAAAATAATAAGTACCCAAAGTGCTAAGATATAAAGATTATTTAAACTCGAACAGTGTAAAAATTGGTCGATCTCACTTAGTTAATTTGTATGGGGAAATGAGTTTATTTAGTAATGATAGGCGTTCAGTACTTCCATTACAAATACACACGCATGGATGTTTTGAAAAGAAGTTTCGAAGTGAATTTAGTTTTGGGTCCAGGCCCAGGGACTATGAACCATCTTTATGTTGTGCCGAAATGTTGTAGAAATCAAACAGCCCATAGAAAAAAATTATAAAAAAAAAAAAAAAAAAACTCTGCAAATTTACAGATCAAGTTGACAATGAATTAACATCTTGCAGATGATTGAAAACAAATTGACTTAAGTCTGTTTCATATGATCCTGGAGCCAGTTATATACGCTTTTAAAGCATTTGTTAAAGTCCGTAAACCAACCAAGCAGAAGGCGTTCAAGGTTATGTAGTTTCGATAGAATTTCATTATCTTTTCAGATTTTGAACAAAATGTCGGATGTTTTAACTTAAAAATGTGTATTTCAAAAGAAAAACCAAAGGTATACCGTGAGCACTGAGCTCACAAAACGATACCCCTGCTCCCGTATGAGTATACATAATGGCAAATTCCATATTTTGCTTTGGGAAACCTCAAATATCTGTCGAATCGGAACAGAAAATAGGAAGAGCACAATGGCACCATGTAATAAAGATTCTGTGAAAGACTAACTAAATTTTATTCTGTGGTATAGGAGGAGTTTCGGATAAGAGATAAGTACCGGCCCCGCAAGCGTAGCATATGAATGGAAACCTCCATCACTATACATGGAAAATCCACCACTATATATCCCATTTTGAAGTTTTTAATTCATTTTAAATGTGAAATGGATAAGCATAGGAAGATAGTAAAGGATTATTCGCTGGTTTGATGATTTCTTCACAACCTCTGTGGGAGACTACTGATTGCAGGGTAGAATGCAATTTAAAATTATAACATATTATAATAATATTATAAATATTATCGTCAATGTTGACATTCCTTTAAACTCTTTCACATCTGAGAAGAATGCCACGTGTTTCCGTCGTATTCTGTAATTGGGTAGTGACGGAAATAGCTCTTATACACATTCTCAAGGTTGACAAAGCTGACTTTATCATTAAATAAAAAGACCGAAGTAAAATATTTCCTGGTTCTTGAGCCACTTAAGGAATACACATTTGTACACTGATCACATGGAATTTTTTTTTACAAAAATACTTCAATCTTTTCAGTCAAGCCAATTAATAACTCTTTTGCCGTGGAAGTAGGAAAAGTTCGTTAGCAGGGGACAATATGCTCACGGTTGAAAACACCGCGAGATCTATCACTTTAGAGTCTTTAAGCATATATAAGAAAGAAGAGCTGATGAGAAAACATGTATCTTGCCAAACATTCGTGAACCACGCTAACAGAGGAGCTACTTCTCTTATGTTATATATATTTTGTTGATAATTTCTGCTTAGCCGACTCTTCTATTTAAATTCAACTATTTCTTTCTTTTGGAGTTAATAAAATCTCTTAACATTCCGAATTAGAAGACCTACTATCTAGAGTGCAACATTTGGCAATATATTGTACTTTCGGCAAACTAAGTCTTGATAGCATTAGAGCTTCCTCGACTTTCCCGCAAAAGAGCGACAATAAGGTAGATATAATAACCACGAGATAATCGCAATGCTAAATAAAATTAAGTCGACTTTGTTCTACGTACGAACAATTTCCAAAACGATGCAGGCTACTGACAAATAAGTTGCTGGTACAAGGATATCAATAATCTCGTTTAAAGTCAAGGTTTCACTAATTTATGGACGATACAATGACCTTGTTTTCAAATACAGTCTGTCAGTCGAATATTGACGTCTTTCACACAAATTATTAAACCATTATTTTCACACTGAATCCATTGTTCCCACTCCACCCCACCCGACCCACAAAAAGTCGAAGACAATATTTATATCCTTGTAAACCTTCAATGAATACAAACAAAATTTGGTATGACTATCATCTATTAAATGTTCCTTTAAACAGTGTATTCTTAGATAAATATCTCTCATATTAATAATATCATGACGATTTACAAGAAGGTCGGTATAATCTGTCGGCGCACGAACGAAATCCGGGATAATTTTTTACATATGTTATTATTGGAATTGCATTTGCTTCCCTACTAATTGGAAAAATATATCATTTAAATTTATATAACTTAAATCAGAAAAAAATATGCGTAATCTAAAAGTTTCCTAGAGTTTTTAGTATACACATCTGATGAACACCACTTCTCAGATATGTTGTACAGTACTTCTAAAGTTTTCCTTCGCTGCTGGAGTAAAGAAAGAGGCTTGACAGAACATATACTAGAACTTGCTATGCATCTTTGCAGGGACTTTTATGACATTTAGGGATCCAGTATACATTGTAGGTATGGTAATTTCAAATTCAATTTTGTTGTTGGAAATGTTAAAAAAATATTTCAAACTGACGTATGATTTTGAAGAATTTCCTCTATATAAGGGAACTTTAAGTTAGATTACCACTCATTTTAAAAGGAAGTTCCTCAATAATACAATATTGTTATAATGAGCCTTACAAGCAAAGACTATGTTGTTACCTGCTTTGTCATCTGGGACCAGTACATATTGATCGTGTAAACTAATTAATCAAAAGACCCAATTTTAGTTTATAAAATAAAATAGAAACAGAACTTCTTTTTTTTTTATCTTTATACTCCTTATTTTTTAATTGCAAAATTAATGTACATTTACCATCGGTTATAATTATTCATAAATCAAAATATAAATTTACTTAACAATCCGTTTGGTTTTTTTTTTTTTTAAGATATTTCTTGCGCACGGAAAAACGACCAACTTTATACAATCTACTTGTTTGCATGGTACGTGTCTCGTCAGATTTTTGACCCGAATAAACAAACAAGCTACATGTAGCTGTTGAAATTAACAGAAACCTTCAAAATCCGCGATTGCCTCAACAGATTGTTTATAACTGCCACAGACTTTCTTTTCGATTATGCAATAATGCAATTCCTCTACCGCAATCCAAACATAACTTTGTAGTCTGGCAAAATATGAAAGTCTGACATATAGTTTCAAAAATTTACTACCTTACTTATACTCTGATTTTTTATTATAAATCTTTATCACAGTAAAGATCTAGGTGATAGGGGACACACTGCTGTGTTAAAATTTTCAAAAGTTTTAAAATAGGCTAATGACATCATGTTCATTTTTGAAGAGGATTTAAAATTTTTACACACACACACAGTAGTTATTTGTGTCTATTTGTGATTTACTGAAGGATATTTGGCTGTTATTTCATAGCTGTAAACACAGACTTTATATCGCTATAATCCGAGGCGATTGACATACCGGGGGTATAAAAAAAATTATCAATTTTTATACCCGCATTATGTCAGTTGAATTAAAAAATGTAAAGGACTGTGATTATATTCAAGATCTAACATTTTAGAGATGCATTCTGGAAACTTACGTAAATTACAAATGTATAATTGATTAAAACTGATATAAAATTAAAGATAGTCCAAGGCCTTAAATAAGGTCTGTTAATAGTTCTAAAAACTATAATCACGAATATTATATTCAATATTTTTTTTCAAATGTAGTTTCCTAAAATGTTTTGACCGGCTTATTTTCACATATATAAAAATCTATATTTTATTTTTCTTTATATTTTCATTCTCAATGCACGAAACTTGGGTAGGACAAAATACTTGCTATCTTATAAATAAAAATACTTTCATTCATTTATAATCAATATGTGGAATGTTTGTTAAATACATTTGCAATTTACACTCCCGACTCCTGTGCGGCACTTTTGATGACGTCATCTTCCACCGAACAGACGACGTAATCAGAATTTATTTTAATCTCTTCCTCTTTCATCACATCTTCTTGAAATTCCGGAGTTTCGTCCAACTGGACGGAACTATAATATCCCCTTGGAGTTTCTTTCGATGACAGATGCCCTTTTTCATGTGCGTTTATTCTACGTTTTAACGTAAAACAGAGTATAGTATAACCTCCGTCTGTTCTTATGACAGGTGCGCGGGAGCTGGTGGATGACTGACGCTCAAGAGGAACCCTTACACTGACAGAGTAATTCTAAAAAGAAAGTGTCAATAAAATCTAAATTTTTAGAAATAGTTCTGCGACTTGGACATTATTTGTCCACTTTATACACGATTTGAATTTCAGTTAAAACGAATCTGATTCATTGTGTATCAATTTCTTATAAAACAAATTAATTTTTTGCTTGCTTGTGAATCGAACCATCTTCGCGTTGTAAATTATTGCTAGTCGCTCAGGTAAAATATTATACATGCTGTAGCATTGTGTCAAGAATATTTATTTCATAGGTTAAGAAAACAATGAATTTACTTACTTGTTTCGCTTTTCTGACAACGAATGCAATAGCAATGAAAACCAGTCTAATACAATGTAAAAGAAAAGAATAAAGTAATAAATTGCAAATCACCAAAAACTTAGACGCTAATTTCTCAAATATAGAATTAAAAATAAAACTTACAAAATAATTATAACTACAACTATCGCAATGGCTGCATTTGGGGAATGGTTTTCGATCTTCAGTGGGTGGAATGGAATGTAATTCGAAGTGTTCGTAAAACTTAAAATGGAATCATTTACCATCGCAGTGAATGGATTCGTGAAGTTTGTTACGTCAGTTATCACGTGACGATTGGTCGTCTGCGTGATATTCACTTGAGTTGTGGAGATTGAAGGTGTAGAGAGATATTGTGTAGTAAGGATACGGTCCGTTGAAGGTGTAGACATGGTTAAAGATGGTGTAGTAATGATGCTCTCCGTCGATTCTATACAAGACACATTCAAGACTTTAAAATCACTTTCAAGGGAGTCACAAGATGGGTGTCGATCCAGACATGCCTGTTTTTCGGTACACTTGATGTCCTCTGTAAACCACTGTTGGTAGTCTGTGTCATACTGTGACAGACAGACTTTGAGAAGGCTTGATAACAGGTCACAGTCATCGGGTACGTGTGAACACAACAAAGAAAATTTCCCAGGAGGCGGACATGGTACACAGCTATACCACTCCTCCACGGAAGGAGGGTATCTCTGAAAAAAAATTCAAGCTATCTACATTGTATAATCTTTTATTTAGGACTAATCTTATCAGAAAAGTTAACAATGTCTAAAAAACGTTTACATGTAATTCCTCTACTAATAGTCGAAAAGGTTATAAAATAGTATGCCATCAAACAAAATAGTCCCATTGTTACGTGCACTCGGGGGTCTGATCCAAGACTGAATGACGTACACTGTATAACTGCTTAGCAATTCCTAAGGAAAACTATGGGTTAATTCATGGGGATTTGTCTTCGTGGTGAAGAATTAATGAGTAATAATTATGTATATGACATTTTACATTTCGTGGAGGGCATGAATTCGAGGGTCTCTTCATACCTCGAATATAACGAAAATTAAACCCCACGAAAATTCATGATTTTAAAGTATTTTGTATTGCTTACGTTACAATGACACATCAAAAATGTATCCGCTTGACGTTACATTTAAAATTTTACAATTTTTGAAGGGAAATTGTCCTATTTTATACTTCATGATATAAAATCAAATTATAAGGATACATTCTATAGCTACCCTGGTTTTATTTGGATAACCTGGGTTGGGACCCTTTATGCGCTTTACGCTTATTTATTAACCTCTTCTCGGTTTATAAAGCGTAAACTGCTTCAACCCAAGTTACACAGTATAACTTGGGTAGCATTAAATTCATTTTTTAAATTATGTCTTTGAGTAATTGGAATATTCACGTGACACTTGTGTTCATGTGAAATGTATATACATGTATTCTCATTCGTAATTAAATAAAAGTTTTGTGCTTTAGTATTTCCTAATTAGTTAGCCTCTTGTGAATATAAGGGTCAATGCCGTTAAACTTTGAAGGGACCTGAAGTTTTCTATTGATGTGAATTCATCGGAGAATATACGTGAATATCTAAATTAGGCTCAAAAATATGTATGTTTCCCGACCGTAACTCGACCGACCCTACTACTTTTTATACCAAATCTGTATTTTGAACTGTCCTTTATTCACTAGACAGTTTTCTCATGCTGCAGTCAATAAAATGTATGTCTCAGACACCTTCAAAAGTGTCTATTCAAGTGTTTTAAAGAGTACATTTTATTTTTGTGTATGTTTATTTATAAATGACAAAAAACAGTGACCTGTGTCATTTTGAAATCAACATAACACATGTATAAATATAAAGTTATGTCGGAAAATAAATAAATGTCCTGAAATCAAGCCATTAGTGTCATCAATATACTCATGCAAATTACATGTAAAATATAATTAATTAATATAAAAATGTTTGCTCTGAAAAATTTGTAATTTTTTCCCCTGCCGACATTACCTTGATTGTACACATGCTTATAACTTCGCCAGCCCAACACATCAAAATGACGACTGGGCAGAAATGTCTAGTATTCATAACCAAACCGGTTCCTTGAAAATCTCTTCATGATGTAATTCAGAGATGTCGTAAATTTCAAAACTGTATCGATAAATAGTCACATAAATCCAAAATAGTATTTTCCTCTTCATTGCTCACGTAATCCATCTCTAAAAGAAATATTCTGTTCTATGTGATGTGTAGTAAGATGGCTAACGACTTACATAGATTCTTCTACTTTTTTCCCTTACAACTGAATTTTCCTTTTTCCAGAATGATGATATATGAAGTATGATTCCTGATTTATGAGTAATATTCCAGTGTCTCTTGATCGTGTGTCTTCGAACTCCTGAAATTGAGAAGAAAAATCAACTGTGTTGTGTGTGACATAGTTTCAGCGATAGCTATCGGTTTTGCAGACCTTCCCCCTTCCTCTTTACTACAACTGTTTGTTGTAGATACTTGACTAGAGAGTTTTTGTCGTGTAACGGATATGACAAAAGATTGATATATAAATGTGATAGTATGCGGAAATGACGTCAGCAAAAGAAAGACTGTTCAATATGGATATTTTGATCAGGAAGAAAAAATCAAGACAGAATCCACTGCAGTTTGTCAATATTACAAAGGATAAATCGAAGCTTTGCCCTTTTTTTGCAATTGTAACTAGATGCAGAAGTAAATGCAAATCAATTTAAATTGAAATTAAAAAATAAATTATCCAATAACCCTATCTATTCATTCTAATTAAAAAAAAGAAAACCAAAATCTCTTATCTAAATCTTGCATACGTATATTAAAGTTATCAATATCAGTGTCAGTACTTACGTTTCACTTACCTTGGAATCCTAAGTTTGCTTGCTTTTAAGTTCCAAAAACTTTGTGATCCGTATAACTGTGAGTTTTGTACACAAACTTGATGTACAAACTTGATGGATCAGGTAAGCATAATTACACCCACGCATACTGTTCAAATGCGCAGATCCCACTGGCTTGAAGCAACAGGTAAGGAATGTGTAATACACACATGTATATCAAAGAAGATAATCTGTAGCTTCTTACACACTTTGATGATTTTATGTTTTTTTTTAACCTATCAGAGAAAAAGATATATTCTTTGTTTCCTTCGATTGATTTCTTTTCTTTTCTTATTGAATGCCTAATTTGTTGCAACTTTTCAATAAAGAAAAGATAAAGAACAAGATAAGGTTTTGTCCAAAAACCTGCCCTGTCTAATCAACCAAAAATCAAGCAAAACACAATATAAAGTAGAATATGACACTGTACCTTTTTGCGTTTTTTGAACAGAATTCTTAAGGTTTCATCTTGAATAAACCTTTTTCTATCGATTTTTTATTTAACATTTTAGCTACTTTCCTTATGATTTAATCAGCAGTAATGTAGAGTTGCATTTATACAGGATTTTACATACATGTATATAGTTAAAGGTGGTTATAACCCTGTGATCTGGTCTCAACATTATAACACACCTTAATGTCAAGGGCAACTTGACATTGTTAAATTCATGACACACTTTAAATTCAGGACAACAATATACAAATACAGAAGTTTGAAAGGTAATACAAAAACAGTCTGAACACAATTTTTGACATAATTTCAACACCCCAATGTTCCCTTGCATTAAGATCATGACACACATTTATGTCATACTAGTATGCAAAGCAAAAACAAAAACGGAGAGCTTTGAATACAGATAAGTCATCAAATGTACAAAATTGTTGCTAAGACAACGTATTTGACATAATTCAAACCTCTCACTGTCCTGAAATCCAAGATACATGTATAATCTGGATTTAATATTTTGATTCACATGTAAACAAAAGAAAAATATAAAAACTCGAAATCGTTCTTAACCTGACAGACTAACTTGCATGATCATCCTACCAGATTTAAGAGATTTAACCTTGATTCATGACATTTTAGTCTGTCTGATGCCCCGAAATTTCGAAAATAAGCCTCAGTTTATGTTAATAGAACACTATCTGGGCGAACTGTCGTAAAGAAACTATGAAAGAGTTTAAATTTCCTACAGTTACTTTTCTAAATGATTGAATTTTTTTAATTGGCATGAGTTGCCTTGTATGTTTGTGTGCAATATCTACTTAAATAAAATGTGTACAAAAACTTCTCATAGATGCCCAGGTTTTATTAAAGATACTTGTTTTCCCCTAAATTGTACTCTGTTGTTGAAAGGGGATAAGGACATTGAGAAACAGATTATCTAGAACATTTTACATATAATAAGTGGTTATAAGCACTTGTGGAGTGTTTTCAGTTACATGTAATTGTAAATAAATGTTTATCTGTTATAATGATATATGTGCCAAATATTTGGTTATATTTTTGACAATGTATTAAAGCTAATCCTGAATTTTGTTTATTTTTGACATGGTAGTTAAAGTTGATCCTGAATTATGCTTATTTTTTGACAAAGAATTTTTAACTTGGTCCTGAATTTTGACAATTTTTTGATAATATAGTTTGAGGTTGTCCTGAATTTTGTCTATTTTTGATATCATAGTTTAGTTAGTTTTGAATTTTGTCTAATTTTTTTTTTTACAACGTAGCTAATTTGGTTCTGAATATTGCCTATTTTTTTTACGATGTATTCAAGTTGGCACTGAATTTTGTCTCGACTTTTTTTGCATTGTAGTTAAGTTGGTCCTGCTCAGCTACGTTAAGGAAACAAGTGAAAATGAGCTCGCGCTGGAAAGACCTATAGCTCCGCCTACCTCATGAATATTAATGAGGGAATACGTAAATCTCTATAATATTCTCCAAGATTTAAATGCACCAAATAATAAAACATTTCTTAAATACTATTTTGATTAATAATATATTTTTCCACCATATATATCTTCAAAAAACAAAGTATTTAAAAAAAATACAAATTGTTCCTGTCGTTTGGTTGCGTATCTACGTTCTCGCGACGCTTGGAAAACGCACATGGCCTGTGTGGTCCGGGGAAGACATGACAGGTGCGATGAGCAGTTGGCTTAAAAACAGCAACAGTTTGCAAGGATTAATGCATATAACTGAGTTTTGGTAAGCATAAAATATGTATACATGCAATTGTTTTTATGCATAAATATTAATTTTCCATCTGACATCAAAATGTTCTCGTATTTATCAGTTCACGGAAATGCTCCCTGTTAGCAAACTATTGCACAAGTACACAGACGTAAAATAATTTTTGGGGCATAATATCAAAGAATACATTTCCTCTGTAAAATATTTTTTGGTCATTAATGATTGCGTGGCAGAATTTTTCACAACAGTTATTTAACGTGCCGGTAATGGGTAAATTTCTACACTGCTAGACCTGACCTTGATTTCACTAGACCTGATCTTATATCTATGGTTTACTGAATTAATTAATATTACAATCTGAAGAATATGATCATGAAGAGAAAAACCCAGAGTTGAATAACATCGTCAGTCTAAGCAAATCTATGCTTATCATAAGTTGGTTTTCCTGCAAAGAAAATTAAAGAAAATAAACATCATTTTAATAAATTCAAGAAAATATCAGAAAGGAAGACGTATTTCAATGCGATTTAGTTCTATGACTGGTTAAATTAAATCACACCATGCAACAGTTGTAAAGAGTTAGCATTTAAGAGAAAGTCAAATGGCAGCACGATTTATGAAATATTGATATGTATACTAAGGCAAAAAGTGAAACCTGATCTAACACATCGGTAAACAAGAAAAATCTGTAAATTTGTTGTTAGTTTTGCTTCATTTGAACTTCGTCGAAATATTTTACACGACCATTCTGGCCACCATGAAACAAAATAAACTAGACCGGACCTAACTTTTACTAGGCTGAGTCTGTCGGACGTGCTTTAATGTTGAGCCCTGCATGCATTTAAAATCCCCCCCCCCCATGCATCATAATACCGTAAAGCTCATCTACTGGCTTTATGGGATTTGATCACTTTATTTTTAAGCCATCTTTAAGCATAGACATGCTTAAAATAAGCATGTCCAAGAAATATTATTATGATGACTGAGGGTAAATACTTCAACCAAAGCACACCTTTTACAAAATTGCGCAGTGACCTACATTATACATTTAAAGAAAAAAGAATACAGGGGTGTCCCTTAGAATTCAAATAGCAGCGGATATTAAAAAAGTAGACAGGGGTCTGGGGTTCCTCCCTTAAGAGGGAGATGAGAAGGAATACCAGAGTAACTGGTGATTACATTGGCAGGGAAATCCCTCACCCAGGTCTTCGGGACAACCATGAGAATATGTTTTCAAAGTATATACATATAAGTATTAGTGCTGCATAATGTGCACCCTTTTTGTTTAAAGATGACTAAAAGGCCAGTATAAATTGTGCCAGTCTATGCGAAAGTCTAAAATTTTTACAGGACATAATGTCTGGTAAAAATATATATTTTACCAGACCAAGCATTTACTTACCAGACCGACCTAAATTTTCTCTAGATACATCATTATGACAGAGATTGTTATAAGGAGGGGGGATTCTCACTGTTAAATTGAACCTCAAATAAATTCAGATTTGAGATTAAAAAAAAATTATTTTATTGAAATGAGCAAGCTTACTAATAATAATTTTCCTTTTTAAAAGGTAATAAACAATCCCATACAATTTTCTCTTTTTCTGGTTATTTGACACATACAAACGAAATACATCTTGTCAAAAATTTTTTTAAAACTTTAAAATGCACTTTAAAATATATTTATTTATTTCTTGAAGTAACTCATTACGGTACTCTTGTTTAATAATGAAAATAATTTTGCTCAACTGAATCTACGTATGAGCTATCTATGGATCTTTATTCCACGAAAGAGGAAATTCGAGTTGGAAATAAACGATCATGAAAGGATTCTCATAGATTAAAATTAAACATGTATTACTGCTAAATGGATCAAATAAAGGATATGTGTGGAAAATAAGACCATATGTACATGTAAATTCAGATTTTTAGGCCTTTATTTTTTTATCGGACAATTGGTCCTGTATCATGAATTTTTTTACTGACACGAACCAAATTTTACTGGTAAAAACTGACGGTCCGGTGACTTTCGAATAGACTGGTGTGCATGAAGAAAGCATGCAAAACAGAGCACATAAAAAAATATTCAATGGCTTTGAAGGAAAATACGAATAGCAACAAAAGTTTGGTGTTAAGATCTATTTTAAATAAGATAAAGTATGCAATTGTTTACTTTTTTTGAAGTTAAATTGACAGTTAATTGAAAATTTATTTATTAGGCCATAATAAAAAAATTACTAGAGATTGTCATCCCCGTCCGCCTCGATTTTTTTTTTTCCCCGCCTCAATTGTTTAATTTCTGTTTTCCTTCATCTTAATTCTGATCGGAATTGGTATGTAACTTACTATTCAACTGCTGACAAGATGGTTAATGCTGTAACATGTATTCAACAAGGATCATTGGTGGTGAAAGATTGGTTTGTGATGTTGTGTAGTAAGAGATATACATATTTAAATTGACCTCCAACTATGACTTTTATTCAGACATATTAAATAAATCTGCACCGATTGATCAGGTCAACAAAAAATTTTGATTTATAGAAATAAAAACAGAAATAAATGCCTCGATTTTTAAAAAAAAATTGGATGAGAATCTGCTTTTTTTTTTAATTATAGTTTTATTTAAATTTAAACATGTTAAAAAGAAATGAATAACCCTTCTGTAATTTAATTTAAATATAAATTCAGAAACAATATGTACAAGTAATTTGAAAGGCACACTGCACTCTTTAATTCAATAAAATTTCCCCCGTTCTTAAAAATTTCTTGTGGGCTTGGACACAGATTTGATGTTAATATATTTCAACCTAATATCATGATTTATATGTTGCAAGAGCATTTCACTCCAAAATGTAATAGAAGCATGCTTAAAAACTT